AAAGAGCGAGAATATGGTCTTGTAGAATAATTATTGTATTTAAAATTTGCTTTTTTATATTTGCCTTTTTTATATTCGCTGTTTTATATTTTGCATAATGATTGAACGTAGCTACAATAAATAAAATGTTGTTATAAAAAAAAAATACCCAAGTTAACGCTAATTATAAATTACTATAAGACTTTAAATTTTATAATTATATTAATAAAGTAGATATATGTTAACATAAAACGAACTCGGCTTGCCTTACTATTTACTTTAAAATTTTGGTGTGACGAACTATTTCGTGACGAATAAGGATTCAATAGTATTATTAATAGTAAATCCTTATTTGTCACATAGAATGATTCATTACTTCTATGTCGCAAATTGCAAATTAATTTTTCGGCATCCATCCTACAAAATATACGTATATATTCTAGTATACAAATAAGTATAACCAACTTATATTCTATTATACGCATATACATAATAGACGTTTTTTCATTTTTGTTACAATACGCTACTTCTTTCGTAGTTCAGACTATACTACTTTCCGCATCGCCTCATTATTTTTTGTCGAAATGTCAAAATCCTAAATTTGACTAAATGCCTAAATAGTTGACTAAATAAATATTATACGTATGATGAAATGTTTAAATTAGTGATAAAAAAGGCTTGTATATTAAAAGCAATTAGCTTTTGATTGATAGTAATCCAGATCCAAGTTATAAACATTTAGCATAATGAATACTGTATGAAAAAAGTGTTCATAAAAATGTAGGAAAATTTTCAAGCAGATGTCTTTTAGAAAGTATATATATTAAACCTGCTTGATAGGACAAGCAACTATCTTTATCAAATCTATTTTGTATATTGCGTGCAATCCATAAAAAAACAAGTTTCGGATACTTGCTAATAAATAGGTTTGTATATTTTTTTAATTTAGACATTTCGACATTATTAGACATTTCGGCATAATTTAGAATTTCGGCATTTAGAATTTCAGCAGGCTAAATATTAAATGTCAAAATATTTTTACAAGCTCAAAACAATTTCGGCTAACAACATTAATCTGGGCATAAATTTTTATGTACTGAACACATCAAAATTGCGCATAACCTGGCCAGGGTCCCAGTAAAGTCGAAATTTTTATATCGATATGCACTGCCGAAGCTTCCCTAAACCTCTAGACAGATAAATTATAGAAATTGGTACAAGTCCATTTGTTATAAATTTTTTTTAAAAAATTCACTATATTGAGAGTTTTGTTAGTAAATTCACTATTGAGAGTTTTGTTAGTATACGTAGTGAATTCGCTATACGTAACAGATATCAATTTTAACCTAATTATTAACGTGACATTTTTTTTTAACGCACCATTGAGAAATGGCTACTGAGAAAGTATCATTTTTAGAAAGTCAACAAAGTAGGGAAGTCATAGAATTAAGTCGACTTCTGCAGGAAACTAGTGATAATGTTACAACGACCCCTTCAGGCTTATTACTATCAGCTAAACGTCCAGTTGTGAAAAAAATACTGGAAGCGATGGCCTCTGGGATAGACGTGTCGTCTTTATTTGGCGATGTTGTTAAGGTAATTGATTCATTACTTAGATAAAATATAATATAATTAAGATTACTGGTGGCTAATTTTTTATTATGTTACTCGAGAAAGGCAGCCTCCACGAAAGATCTAGTTC